ATGATTTTATGATTATTTGCATATTTGTGTAACAAAACTTTACACCAATGATTTATAAATTACGTTATGATTATTTGAATTTAAGTATTTTCCATTTTACATATACACTTCCATAAATTAAAAGGAATGAAGTTATTATAGTTAATATATGCAAATCGTTATCAAATCGTATATTTTCCTTTTCTTCCATTACATGCGTACGATATATATAAATATATAAACTATGTTACATGCGTTATATGCGTCTCTAATTATTTTTCCCTAGCAAATTTCAATTGAACCTAAAGCCGCCACGTCAGTTTAATTGATATGCTAATTGATTGACAACTAAGAAAGATTACTTTTTAATTAATACAAACTTGAGGTTACATCTTTTCAAATGTTTCTCAATTAATATATAGGGGATTCTTACAACTTCATTTATTGTATTTACCATAAAATTATATAAATATGAATTAATATTTTAATGTGTTTATTAATGATTTTGTCATTAATATATTAACTACTTCTAAATTTCATCATTATTTGTTTTTGTCATTTAAAACAAACATAAACCTTAGCTAATTTCACTATTCTAACTAATCAACTATTGACTAACAATTTCATATTTTAATCAAATTAAGTAATTATTCATTATTTTACTTAATTAATATTCCCTCTGGATACAAATGTATATACAATGTTTAAGATTATTCACATATATTTAAAAAAAATATTTATGTTTATTAATTACTTTTTATTTTACTTTTAAATAGTTTAATTATTTATTTGGTTCCGAATAAAATTCAACCTTACATTTTTTACATTTTGATTTATGTTTTAGTTTTAAAGAAAAATGCATTAATTGAAAGTAGAACCAATCTTTTGTACACAAAAAAATGCTAAAACAACATGCATTTATATATGGAGGGAATGTTATCTAATACATTTTGTTTAGAAGACAATCTAATATGTTAATAAAGATTGTCTCGCATTTTAAAAAAATATCTTCAGTTAAACTAAAAAAAACTATAATTTTTTAAAATGGTGTACTAAAAATTATTTAATATGGGTGAATATTTGAAATATATACCATGAAAATATTAAATTACACAAAAACGCAAAAAAATGAAATGGAATTCCTTTTCAATGAAAGTTATCTCTTAACTATTTAAATGAAATGGAATTTCATTTGTTACCATATCTTAAATTGATATTTCTGATCAAGAAAATGATGACCTACCTACCTACCTACCAACACGGTTTTAATTTTGTCTCATATGTAAATGTTTCCATATCCGAAGAAGTTTTGGTGAAAATGAGATGAGCAAGTGAACTGCACCCAAACGTGTGTACTTCTGTAACTCCTGAGCATTTCATTCCCAATTCTGAAGGATTTAGGAAATTAAATAAAAAAGGTACTACGGAGTGTTGGACGCTAAAATTACGAAGCTGCCATTTTCAAGTCACTTGATTTGGCATTACACGAGATTTGTTTCTGACCCAACCATTTGTATCTGTATCATATGCACATCACGTGACGGTCAACAGAAAAGAGAGGAACCACAGTCACCATCACATCACCAGTATCACCACCATGCGGTAAAGAGATTGTGATTGTTTCAGCTTTAGCTCCTCGCTCACATTTGTACCCCCATAACCTTTGCATCTTGCAGTCATCAGCAAGAATGATGTATTATTGATAGAGACATCATGTAGTTCATAGTCATAATTGACAATTTAAAGAATACGTAATTCTACATTTATCAGACATGATAAAGAAAAGGAAAGTTTACGAACAAACAAATTGAATGAAGAGAAGAAAAAAAAGATTCATAAATCAGCATAAATTATGTACAAAAACGCTAAAACACAGTGGACTGGCCAGTGTGGGTACACAGATACTCCTAAGAACTATTGCAGTCTATAAAACAAATCATCTCGAAGTGTCTTCTATCACCTCCGAATGCTATTTCCTATGAGGTCTACGAACCTGTCCACCAGATCATCATGACAATGCAGGATTTGCTTCAGCGAATCTCTTAGGTTTATCAACAGCTTCCGACTTCATTCAAATGGATTCACCCTCCCGAAGAGACTGGTGTTGGATCATGCAGTGTAGTTTTCCACATTCTGAATCTGGACATGTCTGCCTTCGCCAACACATCACGTTGACCTGGCGTAGAAAGCATTAATATTCCTTCTTGTCGAGTCACCCTCTAGGGGAGGGTGGTCAAGTGCTCTGAAATCTCAAGGATTAACACATTCGCTTCTCCAGTGAGATTCAAGTTCAGAGCAGCTGCGTCTCCAAATTAGTCTCTTCTCCCTAAAGGCCGTCCAAAATTTTGCCTCCTCTGCTTCCCATGTTGCCAAGCATCTCCTCTATGTCTATCTCCAGACTGATCAAAACCATCAACTGAATTCTCCCTTCGAAAATTCCCATTCCTTGGATATGTTGTCATCGTCGTGTTCAGCTTCTCGTCGTCTTCTGATGGTGTCCCTGGCCTGGGTTCATTGTGCATATCGATGGATCTGGTTCTTGGCCCACCTGATCTGAAACCTCTAGCACTAGGCGCTTTGGGTATAAAGCTAGGTACCTTTGGAACCGGAAAATCCTTGGGAAGTGACTCCATCTCCATAAAACAGTTCCTTGCTCGAGCGTCTGTGATCAGTGCTGCCCAGTCCTCACACTTCATCAGAGCCGATGCATTTCCCATCACCTGAAAAAAACATGTCTCAGAAACCAGAAATATAAATATTTAGCATATACAACAGATTCTGTATGTATGATTCATACCCATAGAGCCCTTTTGGCACGGGTGAGAGCAACATTCATCCGCCTAATATCAGCAACAAAGCCAACCCCGTGGTTTGAAGCACGTACACAAGACATGATTATGACATCACGTTCTTGACCCTGAAACGCATCTACCGTATTGATATAAATCTCTTTCACTTCGTCTTGTCCCAAAGCATTTCCAAACTCTATTTTCAGGCATTTCAGCTGCAGTTTATATGGGGTTATTACCCCAACAGACACTTTACCCCCACCAAGTGACTTCAGAGTTTTCTGAAGATGCATATACAGCCCAACACAGAAGCGAGCTTCATCAATGTTCTCATACGACACTGATCCACCTCTATGGGATTCCCTTCCATGGCTGATATCAAAGAAAAGGTAAGGCTTCAGAACAGAATCTTTGTAGTAAATCTCATCAGGCGCAGTGGCTACACTTTCACTGTCCGTCAGGCGTCCTTGGTAGAAATATCTTGAAGGGAAATCGCGTATCTGAGGATGCATCCTGTATTGAACAGTTAACATCAAAGTTGGACAACCTGCTAACTGAAACCTTTCAAACAGACTTCTGCTGTATAAAAGGGTTCCAGCAGCTTTGCTAATTACGGTTGCAGGAAGCTGCTGAGGATCACCCACAAGTACACACCGTGCAGCACCAAGAGCAAGAGGAGGAAGAACTCCAACCTCACTAGCTTGAGCAGCCTCGTCGATGACCACCATGTCGAAGCCATGTGTAAGACGAGAAAACAGTTTACGACCACTGCTAGATACTGTTGTAAACACAATTTCAGCCTCGTTCGCGAAACTTGCCTCAAGACTTGCGCGAGCTTCTTCAAGGTTAAAACTATTACCTGCGCGAAACTTTCCCTCAACAATTAGAAGGCGAGACATTTCAACAAGATCCTTATCTCTGGCTTCAACCACAGCAGAAAGGCGCTGCAATAATGCATCTCTGGTCTGGTCTCTAACCATAAGAACATCAGGGTCAACGCCAACGGATCCCTGAGAGCGATTAACAAAGGCTGCAGCAGTAAGTTCCCTTTTAAGTACAGCAATGTCTTGGGAGAGCTGAGCTTCTCGTAATCTGAGGTTGTGCATGTGTCCTAGAATTTCATCACGGGACTTAGCTAACAGCTGATCACTTCTTCGCTCCACAGAAACTGCTTGAGCAGCTCTAGTTTGAGTATCCACACCTACTCGAGCCACATCAGGTCGATAAACCCTCATTTCCCCATCAATAAAACCACGATCAAGGACACGTGAGAGAAGTTCATCCGTTGCAGCATTTGAAGGAGCACAGACGAGCATCCTGGGTTTAGCACATAGCTTTGGCAGAGTACGGAATAGATTCTGGTCCATGTTTTGTAGGACTTCGTCGATAGACCCTGACACAACATAATCTGAACTACTCTCATTAACTTGTTTATAGCTTTCAGGAGCTAATTTCTTCAGCAATGAAGTGTAATACTGCTGATACTGAACCAAATGGATAACATTCAACATTCCCCATACTGTGTGCGTCTTGCCTGTTCCCGGAGGGCCCTGGACAAGAGTGAACGGCCATGGATCTTGCCTCTTCGCCCCACTACTAGTACCAGCTGCAGTGTGCATGGCAGCCCAGTGGATTGCTGCCAACTGTGGAGCATTAAAACTTCTATGCAAATGGCCAACGAAGCTGGGAGTAAAACAATCAGGCACTGTAGGAGTTTGCTCCCCGTAATTAGGAAACTCCTCTGAGCTGGGCTTGAGAATAGCATTTTGCATCTGAAATATATATATATGAGTTTCACCAGTGTCAGCACAACTGAAAGCATCTATATAAGATTTGTTAAGAGGAAACAAAACCAACCTGTGGGTTAAGCTGACCAAACGCATGCAAAGCAACATATTCCCTCTGTGTGGTTGCAAGCGAACCAAGCACTGTCAGATTCCAGATCTCCTGAGGTTTAAGCTTCCGTAAAATATGATTATCAATTTTGCTGGAAAAGAAAATTAAAAAATAAGAACATTGAGAGAAAAATATATGCTTTTACTAACAATGAGTAGAAACTACGATTGGGTATCAATAGCTAAAAAAGTAAGCATATACCTGCTGGAGTCATAAGAGTCTCCAACATAGAAATGGAGAATTGCTCCAAGAGGATCTCGAGTATCAACCGGTATATATCTCCTAACTGTACCAGCTACACGTCCACCACCCTCATTCTCTCCTTCTAAACATAAAAAAACAAGTAAACTACAGAATACGAAGAGAAGCACCAGCAATGTAAAACAAGCCAGACAATCAACAAATTTTAACCATACCTGATTCAGGCACAGGATTTGACAGAACTGCAACATCACCCTCCTTGAAAGTCCATTTACAATCATTTACTGCGTTAAGTATCACATCATACCAACCTAAACCCAATGCAAAAATGGTTAGCAGTCAGGAGTCAAGAGAACAGTTTGCAGAGAGTTGACATTGTTGGGCAGAGGGCTTTACAAATGTCAAATAGGTCGATGGTGTTGGTTACCTCGCTCTCTTCGTTCGACGAGCTTTATTCTGACCTTCATGTATGTATTTGCCTCGGACAATTCTTCCCACGAACTGTAAAGTTGTGCCCGGCACTCCTCAAAAAGTAAAGGCTCAAACACTCTAACATACTCATCCATGGATTCAAACCGCTCAGGAACACACTGGAGCTCAGTCTCCTCTAAACACAAGAAAAATGTATGCAAATGGGTTAAGTACAAAATAGGTAAAAAGACAGACAAGACAGACATATTTGGGAGAACACCAGATATATTAAAAGTTAACGATGTCATCCACGCAAGTCAAACATCTCCAGAGTGAAGTGTACAGCAAATATCAGAGGCATGTCAATCAGAAAGCCAGCCAATATCTAATACACTTCCACTAACAAACCATTCAGCTTTTAAATAAGCATCAAAACATCCAATTTTCTATAATGAGCCAAAAAGCGTACTTGGCCAATATCATCCAATTCACTGTTCTAATAACATGTGTTCGAGTAACTAGAATAGAGATAGTACCAAGGATGCAAATATTACAATAAATCAGGAGACAGCAACTTTTACTAAAGTGAACTGAGAGACAAAACATAACAAGTACATACAAAGATTACCACAAACTAGATGTATTCTGTCATCTACTTTACAAGTATGATTTAATCGTATCACCTTCCAAATCATGTTGCCATTACGATTCTCACTGAGCCATGATTGAGGACACAGGGAACTGGTATCAGAGCAGTAGATTTAATTGGCATAAAATTTCCTACCTTAAATCAAGATAACTTAAGTAAAAAGCACGAGCACTTGCACACGAGTTCATAAGCAAATAAACAATTAAGTTAATACCTGGATGATGCCAGAACTTTTCGTTGGTCACCTCTCGTATAAGACGCTCCACAGATGTATCTTGGTATTGGGTACTATTTGTCACTGGCTTCTTGAACGACGTAAATTTCTTGCTTCCAAACTTTGAGTCTGCAGAACTTTGACTGGACAATGAGACTTGTCTATTTGACGAAAGACCAGTCTTCGACTGCCGTGAATTTACTGGTTGCTTCCATGACCCTTGCCTTGACACAGATGTCGATGTCCCCTCAGAAGAAGGTTCCGCATCTCCGTTCATCCTACTATTTTTACCAACCAAGCCAGATTGTGATTCACCATTAGGAATGTCATTTGGCTTCTGATCCCTATGCACAACTTGCCCTGGAATCCCGCCTCCTTGCTCAGCAGGTGGACGACCTGCGCGAGACTCTCTAACTGTGCGCGTGACAACAGGTTGTGGGAAATTCTGTCTTCTAGGCGTTGTGGTCTTAATAGGACCAGCTTGCTTGACATCTTCCAGGTTGAGAAACATGGTCTGCCTGTTGCGTTTCTTTCCCAGCATGGTCTCTTTCTGTTGATCGAACTTTCTTTTCACAGTGGTGTTTGCGCACTTGATTGCATGACTTGCTTCAACGCCTTTAACTTCTCTCTGCTTCACTGTTAAACCCTGCTCTTGCGTACCATCACTATCTTTAGCACTGGCTTCTGAGAGCAGATTGGCGTTCCTCTTGTGAAGACCAGAGTTTGAGTTAATATCTAATCCTATTGTGCTGCTATCTTTCTCAGAAACTTTAGAATAATCTAAAGACACGCCAGTTTCTGTCACCGGCACTTCTCGTGATAATACACCCTTGTAATCAGAACTACTATGTACATCCTCACTGGCAGGAACCTCCGACTCTGGCAACTCCCCTTCTTCTCTCTCAGATGCTCCAGCATCAACTGTTGATGTAACCATTGCTTCCTCTGACCTCGATGATGACAATGATACCCTACCAGAACCCTCGCCCATCTTTTGATCAACTGCTACATCTGTACTCTGAGTAGTAGTAGTAGTAGTAGTAGTAGTAGTAGTGGCAGGGCGGACAAAAGGCTGAAAGCCAGAAGCAGTTGACGCATGCAAGAACACTCCTCCTCTATTTACTTTATCATGGGAGGGTGTTGGCAGCAAGCCAGAATTATTGGAATCTCCAGATGGAATATCCCTCTGTTGCACAACAACAACATCATCATCATCTTCTGTAGGAAGTTCATTAAGATCAAATAACATTTTTCCTTCTGAAGCCATATAACAGTAAACAATTTCCACAACTGATTTCTTCAGAGCTCTAATCAGAAACTCGTTATCCCCTCTGCAGAAACCATAATCAATAGCCAATGTAAGCACGTTAAGGAACAAACAATGTAATTGTTTGAAACAGTATCATCAAATCTGGAGGCACACGTGGATCAAATCTATTTCAATTCACACTCAGTTCAAACGTATCAATCAGATAATGCAAATTCGATTCGCGGCGATCCAAACCCTAAGCTATGCATAAGCAATCGAAAAACGAGATCAAATCGACACAAATCAAAGATCGAGATCAAGCAAAACGAACCACTGGCGGTGTCGGCGGAGCAACGGCGAGGAAAAAGGTAAAAACGCCCTAACAAAATCCTTGAAATCGCAATCTCTCTCTCTCTCTCTCTTTCACTTCCGGCGAGGGAAAGGTAAACAGCGGCGGCACAAATCGGGGGATCGAAGATCTAGTCGTCGATCTCGGTGATTTCGAACGAGAGAGAGAAGAATCTGGTGGTTGAGAGACGATGAGAACTCTCTCTAGCGAATTGAATCACAACCGTTGGATTAAAACCGAGAGAAGTAATCCGACGGTTTAGAGTAAAGGGAGAGTGTTGGAGTGTTTTGCGATTGGCTTATTATACCCTTTGATGCCTAAACTCTAAACTCGATATCTTATTTATAGGCGAGAGATGGATAGAGAGAGAGGCCCAAAGTTTCGTTCGCTTTTATTATTGCGTCACCCAGGGGGCAAAACTAGGTTTTTCCTTTTTTTTTTTATTATTATTATTTCGGTAAGATATCTTTATTATTTTAAAATTATAAAGGTTTTGTTTTAATACTTTAAGCTATAATTGGTTAATTATTTTAATTTGGATTCTCTATTTATGACTAGTTCTTTTGTGTCACGCTTGGCGTTGGGATAAAGAATAAAACGCTCTGTTTCTGTGTTCAATACTAAATTCGATTTTATTTCATTTCCTAGGTGTAATAATTTATGATTTTTTTAAAGTCAAGTTTTTAAAACAAAAAAGGTCAGCTTGTAATACGTTTGTTGTTATGAAGAAGGAAAAATTTGGTTGTGGCAATTAAAATGCATTATTTATTTGATTGGTTGCAGCGATAGATTAGTATTTTCTTTTGGTCATGTAACATGCCACATAGATAAGATTGCGTATGGAATATCCTGTGTGGACTTTGAAACTACAAGGACATGGTTGCAGACATCTCTAATGGCATTATCAACATCTTAGCCCAACTTTTTATATCCAGAAATGGTCAGAGGAACAGAGCCTCACAATTTGAAACCCTGAACTCAGTAAGTAATCTTTGAACATCTTTCAAGAATGGTCTATAACTTTACAAGTTTCAGTCTCTTGCATCAGATAGTCAATACAAAACTGCATCTTTTATTTGCTGGTCAAATAGTCCTAAGAGGAAGAAGAGGTACAACGCACATCATTGGAAATTTCCGAGCCAATCCTGAAATCCTCAACAATTTCCGACCACATCACGCTTTGTGATCGGATACTGGGTTATCAAAAAAAAAACAATGAAACAGTATAACTATTAACTTCTAGAGATCTAGAAGGTTATGTGCCTTACTTAGATGTATATTATTGGTTTTGGTTCCAATCAAGATGGGTTACTCAAATGGAAGACATCTCTTTTGCAGGTGGTGTCAGGTGTGTATGGTTTTATAACAGTTATCAGATTTAGCTGAAGAGGTTGAGCAGAACTGTTCTACAAAACCAGGTCTCTTGACTCAAATCTTACAACATATCTTTTAGTGGAGAAGAGAAATAAGAGAACTGTAAATTTTCTCACATGATAAAGGGAAGTTATCATTCGGTATGTTTATCTAATTCAGGCCCGGACCAATTGGGCTTGAATGAGTCTAACTAAAAAGCCTTGACCAAACGGGTCTCATGACAGAATTGATAGTTTTGATATTTATTTATTCAAAACTCGTCTAGTAAATTTGCAAAAGGAAGAATGAGAAACCAGCTGGTTTCCGGCTATATATAGACTGAAATAAAATCTTCACACATTTTCATATCATCCCCCTAATAATAGAGTGATAGGGATTTAGGTTTTGTCTGCTCTCAAGCCAGCTCATAACTCTCGGTTTTCTGGCGATCAAACTCACCGAATTCAAGTGACTGAAACACATGACTCTTTGAATTTATGAAAATGATAAATAACTTTAAAACTAAAAAGAATATATTTTATGAAGACAGATGGAGATAAGTTATCATAAACCAAAAAATAATCAACAACCAAAGTTTTTCAACTGATTCTTTTATGTACAAGAAGTTATCTTTGTAATTACAAATGAGGCGAAATTTAGTACTTCTAGTCTTTTAGAAATACAAACGAAAATAATACTTTATATGTTTTAAATTAAGTAGCGTTTTCTTATGTTTTAATGTATATATTAAATATTTCCGGTTCTTATTTTTAATTTATTTTATAGCAAAATCAAACACATAAAAATGAAAATTTAATAAGATTCTTAATCCATATGCAAAAATCTTACAAACTAGAAAACTAAAATTCAAATTATCGAAATCTGGTCACTATAATTAGTCATTCCAAAGTTTTGAATGATTAGATTTTTAAAATAAAGATGAAATCAAAACTTTTATCACCTTCTTAATCCATATGCAAAAACGTTACAAATTATATGACTTAATTCAGAAATTTGAATTCTGGGCACTTCTGAATTCAGACTCTTGACTTCGTTTATAGTAAAGATCCTTATCGATCATATTTATAATTTTATGGGGGATGCACTACATTATATATAGACCAAGCAAATGTTCTAATGGTATACTAACAATTTTGTCAATCAACTGTCAAAGAAAAAAAAAATCTAAAAATGAAGATGGCACTCTCACTTGTGGTTTTCATGATCTTCTCTATCATGTTTGCTTCCGGTATCGTTCTTGTTTTCTTTTCTTTTAGCTTGGTCAGTTAGTAAGTCTACTTAATATCTGAGACCTGCCTTTATTCGTTGACTCCACCATATCGCAATCTTTGATCTACTTGTTCTATATATCTTACGTTGTTTTAGTAGATATCTTATGTTTGTTTATCTTCAAGTTTTGCCAAATGCTTATTCATAGTATAAAATATAATGTAAAGAAGTGACGTGGGTTTAATCCAATCATATATTGCTAAACCAAATTTCTATCTAATTAATAACTATCTTATTTTGTATTAACAGCTTATACCAATTAGATCTTTAGGTAGGGATATGTTTTCTAATCTGCTTAATTGTCATAGATTCAGATATTTCTATCGATGATTTACTAAAAGAAATTATTCATACATACTACTCTGTTACAGTTAAAAATAAGGTGAACGCAAATGTATGCACGGAAGGTCTAGGCATCTGTAACCAATGTGATGAGAGGTGCAAGGCGAGGCACGGGCCAACGGGTCAAGGCATGTGCGACCGATATAACCTATGCACGTGCAATTATACATGTGGACCAGTACCACCTCCACCATCTCCCCCGATAAAACACTGCTCTGGCGGGGCTGGCCTTTGCGACATTAAATGTGGGAAGGCGTGCTGCAATCAAGCTTGTGCACAAAAGTACCCTGGTGGAGATGGATTTTGTGAGACTCTTTACCATAGTTTATTGTGCAGATGCGAATACCCTTGCTAGGCTAGGCTAGGCTACTTTTCTTTTTGAATAAGTAATACGGAATCGTATTTGTCTCCTACATATTTTAACTTGGATGGTTGTAATAAGTAAACTTTTATTATGGTTATTCATAAGCATTTTCTTTGCATGTTCATGGTTCATATTGTGTGATGCTTAAATGCCAAGCGAACATAACTTTAACCCATGTGTTAAGCGAAAAGTTCGATCTAAGATCAACTCTAAGCCCACACGATTTTCGTTAGATCTCAATTGTCAAAAGACATCAAGTTAGTCAAGAAGGATTGGTTATGCTGAGCCGACAGATTAGTGGCACAAAAGCAGAAGGTTTGCGGTTGAGAAGATCTTTTGAAGGACGAGATATAACTATCTTTTGAATGTATGAACAAGAGATATGAGCTTGTGATGGTTGACATGAGATCATCGATCAGATGGACATGAGATTTTGATCGCTTTATTATGATTCACATTTTAATCATCAATAAAAGAGTTATGCATTTGCAAAGTCTATCAACTTGATTTAACTTTCAGTAAAAACAAAAAACAAAGTCTATCAACTTGATTTTTGTTATTATCTATAATAATAAATAGATCTTGATCCGCGCGGTTTTAACTTAATTTGAGAAAGCATAATATACTCATAAGTCATCGGTTATTACCGTATTTTAGAAACTGTGATCGTATTGAATGTAATAGGATTGGGGTTTGATTTTGGGTTCAACTTTTGTTGAATTCTTTATGTTCGGAGTTTTTTTAGTTCTACAGATATAAGATATGTTCAGTTATCTATATAAATTGATGGGTGAATTTGTTGAAAATCCTATAAGAACTACATAATTAGTTAAATACACAAACCAAATAATTGTGGGGATAAGATTTAATTGTCAATTACCAAATTAACCTCACCAAATAATCATTTGTCCTCTCTCTCTCTCTCTCTCTCTCTCTTTTCACTAAAAAACTAAACCCTAAACTCTAATCCTAAACCCTAAACCCTTGGGTAAATCATAAACATTAAATTCTAAACTCTAATCCTAAACCCTAAATCCTTGGGTAAATCATAAACACTAAACCCTAAACCCTAATCCTAAACCCTAAACCATTGGGTAAATTATAAATACTAAACCCTAAATACTTGGGTAAATCATAAACACTAAACCCTAAACTCTAATCCTAAAATCTAAACCCTTGGGTAAATCATAAACACTAAACCCTAAACTCTAATCCTAAACCCTAAACCCTTGGGTAAATCATAAACACTAAATTTTTATAGATTTATCCAAAGGTTTGTGATTTACCTAAGATTAGACTTTAGAGTTTAATGTTAAAATAGTTTTTTTAAATAATTATTTTCGTTTTTCTTAATTATTATTATTTATTATTTTTGTAGATGGATAACAGAATAGAAAAAAAGAAACAAGAGAATAAGTAATCGATACAAACAAAGTTCATTTGGTGTAGGGGTACAATAGTAATCAGAGCATGTGGGAGCATAACTACAAGACAAAAACAGGGCATTGAACTAATATGCCAATCTTTCTTGTGTGTACGACGCAAATACTCTAAATTGATTTGCGTCCGGTTCGATTCTTTTGGTTTGAGCTGGGTTTGGTAACAATTATAATAACCGACTAATATCAGATAAATTTTTGGTTCCAATATGATAACGGTTTGGTTACAATTTCTAAGGTTAATTTTAAATTAATCGGGGTAAAACTGATTTTGGGGAAGAGAGGTGTTTCAGATAAATATCCAGTTACGAAAACAAAATTTTAATATTTTATTTAAAACTATTTAAGTATTTTGTGTCTTTATGATAATTTGAATAATGTTAAATACTTTAGATAAAAAAATAAATGATTTGAAATGTAAATTGTTATTATCTTAAAAACTGATGTTATTTTAAATTTAGTCATCAACAAATAAAATTGAATATGGTCTTTATATAAAATATAAATCAAAAACAC